GCGATTGGCTCCTCATCATCTGGATACGCCTCCAAGTAGCGGGTGTAGTCCTCATCATTCATCAGGCCCGTAACTGGCCCGTCCAGGTCGTCCAGCGGAATTGAGAAGGTCATTCTGAAAGTAAGTTGCTCGGGAACCGCCACCTCAACAAAGGACCCGTCTTGAGAAGTCACTCGGGCAGTTGTGGGAGTAGGCGGTTAGCGTGAAGACGGAGCGACCTCACGACGAGGGGGAGTCGGCGGCTGAGAAGCTGAGGAAGTAGCGCCGGCAGGAGACCTCTGAGAGGCCGGGCGAGGAGTCTTCTCTTTGTGTTCCCTTTCAGGCCGAGTCCGCTTGGAAGGCAGCGGACGCCAAGGAGACCCGAAGTCAATCCGTTTTCCTTTCAGAGGAGAACGACCCATGATGGACTTGTGAAGGTAAGAGAGAAGGGAGGAGGCCATTTATAGGTGCCAGGTTTAGACAGAAGAATCCAAACGGCTCCGTGAGATCTGGAGAGAATGGGTGAGGATCCGGACGTTACAAAAGGCTATTTAAGCCGTGGATACAGTGATTGAAGGAGACGGACAGTTGCTACTTTTTCAAACCCAGGCTAGCGTACCGGGTATGAAAAAGTGAGGGACTAGTTGATGGGGTAAGGACCCCGGCCCAAGAGATAGGGGCCCAAAGGAAATGGTTCAAGACAGGAGAAGTGGGCCAGCGTCTGAGGAGCCCGAAGAGCAAGTGGGCTGAGTCCTGGAGTCGGCCCAGGCCCAGGCACGAGGCCCGGGTCAGAACTGCTAAAGAGGAGCCCAATGGGAGCTTAGGCTGAGACGAGGAGTCGACCAAGGCCCAAGCCCAGGGAAAGACTCGTTCAAGGAGCCGTTGAGAGCATTGAAGAGGCTCGTTTAAAAGGGAGCCGTTAGGACATCGAAAGCAGGATCCGGACAGACTGTTACAAGCCTAGAAGAGCCGTTGGTCGGCCGAGTAATGACGTCCAACGGCTCCATATCTTGATTAGTCTTGAAGTCAGCCATTAAGGGCCTTCAAATCAGTAGAAGAGGAGCCGCTATTTAAAGGCTCCTCCACTCTTGTAAAAGGACAGACGATTGAATACCCGGAGGGGGGAGAATACGAGAGAGATTCCGAGTACTAGCACTATTTTCGAGATAGGCATACATTTTTATTGAAAGGTGTATCCTCCAGCCAAAGGTTGTGTTGGACCTCCTTGGGCCTGAAAACCCAGAAACCATCAATTAGTATATTGTTTTTTTTGTTTAATTTGGCCCCCCTCACCAAAGCATCTCTCCTCCAAACAAAAGTTTAAGCTTTCAAAACCTCACCAAAATACCAAAGTATTTGCCCCCTCCAAGCAAGGAAATGTTATGATGTGAGCACATGTCCACTTGCAAGGTGGACACGGTTCTATATTCATAATTTCTATACTGTAGATCATAATTTCTATCATGTAGATTTATAATTTATATACTGTAGATTTATAAATTTATACTTTAGATTCATAATTTCTAGACCGTAGATTCATAATTTAAATACAATAGATTCATAATTTCTATACAGTAAATTCATAATTTCTATAACTGCAGATTCATAAATATATGTACTGTAGATTCATAATTTCTGTACTGTAAATTTCATAATTTATAGATCCATAATAGATGCGATGATATGTGTCTTTTTCTCCTCTATAAAGGGACCATTAAACGCACCAATAGATGGGGTTCATTGTTATTATTATATATATATATATATATATATATATATATATATCTTTGTTGTCAAATTGTTATAATTTCAGCATGCAAACTTAACTATATACCATTATATATATATATATATATATATATATATATATATATATATATATATATAAGAGTTATTGTCATCTGGGGTCCTCCGAGTATATATAGTGGCACTACCACGTTTAGTCCTAACTAAGTTGAAAGGATAACTTTGGCCTTTACTTTATTAAATGGCATGAATGGCTAAAACAAACAAAAGGGCCACCATGTGTTAAAATTTGAAAGTTGAAGGTCAAGTGGTTAACTTGAAAATTTTAGGACTAAACGTGACAAAATTACTATACTCAGAAGACTTCAATTGGACTGGCCCAAGAAAGTAATTGGACTGGTCCAAGAATGTAATTGGATTAAGGAAGTCCAAGAATGATACACAGTGCGGAGCAATTGTTATAACCGTGGAACTGTGTTCGCAAGGTGGATACGGTTCTATGTTCATAATTACTGAATTCTATGTTCATAATTATAAACTCTATGTTCATAATTTTTGAACGTCATATTCACAATTATTGAATACTATATTCACAATTACAGAACTCTATGTTCATAATTATAAAACTCTATGTTCATAATTTTTTGAACTTTATATTCACAATTATTGAACTCTATATATATTCAAATTTACAGAACTCTATGTTCATAATTATAGAATTATATGTTTCATAACTCTATGTTCATAATTATAGAATTACATGTTCATAATTTTTGAACTCCATATTCACAATTATGATAATGTTAGAACTGTGTCCACCTTGCAAGGTGGACACGGTTCCACAACATAATTTGCCCAGTGCCAATCGTTATGCTGTGGAACCCTGTCCACCTTGCAAGGTGGGCACGGTTCTATGTTCATAATTACTAAACTATATGTTCATAATTATAAAGTTATATATATACATAATTATTGTACTCTATATTCACAATTACAAAACTTTATGTTCATAATTACTGAACTATATGTTCATAATTATAAAGTTATATATTCATAATTTTTGAACTTCATGTTCACAATTATTTGAATTTCTATATTCATAATTACAGAACTATATGTTCGTAATTATGTTCACAATTCTATGTTCATAATTATAGAACTATATGCTCATAATTTGTAAACTATATATTCATAATTATGAACAGTTTTGAAACCGTGTCCACCTTGCACAACATAATTTGCCATTCATAATGTAACAATGGGAGCGTTATGCTGTGCATGGTGCACACTGAATTGGATTTATAATTTCTATACAATAGATTCATAATTTCTAAACTGTAGATTCATAATTTCTATATTGTATAGTTATCAAATTATGAACATATAGTTCAGTGATTTGTGAATACAGAGTTCAACAATTGGGAACATGAACATTGAAAATTATGAACATAGAGTTTTGTAATTGTGAATATAGAGTTCAAATAGAAATTATGAATCTATAGCATAGAAATTATGAATCAAATTTCCTGTGCACCATGCATGGTACACACGGTTGCACGACATAATTTGTTGTAACAAGGACTACCAATATAAGCCACTCTAGAATTCTTATTCTTTGTAGGGCTCTAGGCCCAAAATATATGTATAAATAGACACCCATACATGAAAAAAGGGAGGCAATCTTCATTATTACAAGGCAATTCTAAGCAATAAGAAATATTCATTTATTTCTATATTTTTCCATATACTCTTATTTTAATGGTAATGTTGGCCTGCCATTGACTATCCAAAAGTCATAAAACCAACAAACTCCACCAAAGAAATTCAATTATATTGCTCACTATTTTGAATGTTTTATTATCTTTTAATTATCCATTGTCCTTGCCAAGTACGTGATGACACCTTTATTACCATTCTAAATGGGTAGTTACATAATTGAACCCGGTGATGGAGGCATTGATTCTTTAAGCTGAAAAAAATTGAAAAAATATAAAATATATATTAGTGTTTCAATAAAAAAAAATCCATACTCTTTCAATCATTGGGTGAATCTCTTCGCTGATCTTGAGTGCCTCTGGTCTAGGATCGAATAAAAAAGTTGTATTTTTATTTTCCAAATTAAAAAAAAAAACGTATTTCACGCCAAAATTTTTTAGAAAAAATCAAATCTAATTTTGAAAAAGAAATTTTTTTAAAAAAAATCACAACTGTACAAAAAATGAGGACGCGAAATCATGTTTAATAATCAACTCTTAGAATCTTCGTCTCTAGTCTCCACAAAAACCACAACTAGAGGATGCCAAATCTCCTCGTGCCGAGCTCGGGCCTAGGCTAGCATTGATCAAGACCGGTCCAGGATAACCTGGGCCGGTCTCATGTCGGGCCTACCCCGAGTTGGTCCTGGATCTGGGCCCGAGCTTCTTGTGTGCCGATCTCGGATTAGGCCCATAATTATTTATTTATTTTTATGTAAAATATTTATACATTTTTTGTTTTTGTTTTTGTTTGAAATAAAATTTAAACCATTGAGCTTATAACTAACAACGAGTGTTCTTACAACTTAAACTACTTCAACCTCTTGATATAATAATACTAATTAATATATGCACCCACGCACACTTTTTCAAAGTTAATATTTTTTTATTAAAATAATATTTTAACCATTAATTTCAAAATAAAAGAACAATATGATTTTCTACAAAATAAAAAATTTATAAGACTTTAATAACATTTGAACTTGTACTATTAAAATTTTTTCTAAGACTTGTAATATTATTTGATAACTTATAAATATTATAAAGTGTATTATTTTATATATACGAGTAATTTATAAAGTCCATGTTAGATTCGGATTTGGACCGTACCTGGGCCTGTTAGGGACCTAAGTCGTGCCCGGGCCTGGGTCTGGACATGTTTCGAATTAGATTCCGGGTTATTTTTTATAAGACCGGAACCGACTTCTATAAGCCAGTTTAGATTTGTGCTAAGCCCAAACCAGACTCAGTAAAGCTCAAGCTCACTTTTTTCCGGACCAATTTAAAATCTTCGGACCGATTTAAGACTGATTTGACATTGAACTGGTCCGTGGGCACCTCTAACCATTGCAAACAATGCCAAACCCTAGGGCAAAATTGCAGCCTATTTAGAGCTATAAAAGCGTGATGTTCCGTACGTTTCTTCTCCCCTTTTTCGGTTGCTGCTCTGAGGACTCATTTGCAGTGAAGAGAAAAATCCGAAAAGAAAAGAAAGGAAAGAAGAGGAGCGATGTCGGACGAGGAGCATCAGTTTGAGTCCAAGGCCGATGCCGGCGCCTCCAAAACCTATCCCCAACAAGCTGGTACCATTCGCAAGAATGGTCACATCGTCATCAAGAACCGCCCTTGCAAAGTATATCTTTTTTCTTTTATTTCTTTTTATGATTCTTTTTCAATACTTTGCTACATGGGTTTTGCAGATTTATGATGGTCGAATAAAATTTTTGATTTTTTTAATAAAGGATATGAAATCTATGGATTTATGTTTTTTCTTGCCTTTTGTTACTTTTGCTAGTATTTTTGTGTTCTCCATGAGGAATGAATTTCACTTGAGCGTTGTGATATATGATCGAGTTCTTTTTCCTGTATATTGAAAGTATCAGTGTTGTATGCCTGTGGTGTGAGGGATGAATTTTAATACCTAATTGGTGATGATTGGATCCTGGATTTTATGTACTGGATGTATGTGCTGGTGTATATTTACTTTTTTTTTTTTTTTTGTGCTTTTATCTGAATTGTAATTACTAACAAATGGCTCTTTAACATACCTTGGCTACAAACTATTCTCTGAGGAGTCTGCTATCTTTTTTTGGACTTTTAATCTACTGACTTTGGTACTTACTCACTGGGCTTTATTCTAAAGGAAGTTATCAAATAATACTAGTAATAGACATGTTTGGAGCCGTTTACTGGGGAATTAGTGTGCTTGCGTTTTTTGTGTGCTTTCCGTTCAAAAGCTCTGCTCTCTGCTTACACTTCTTGTGTTTTAAGTATTGCCTGTGTTTGTGGAAAACATGAATCTATGAAGATAAGCTCTGCTCTTTTCTTGTGTCATTGGTAGGGTTGCTGGGTGGGCATGTGCTTACACTTCTTGTGTTTTAAGTATTGCCTGTGTTTGTGGAAAACATGAATCTATGAAGATAAGCTCTGCTCTTTTCTTGTGTCATTGGTAGGGTTGCTGGGTGGGCATGTGCTTTGTATATCCTGTTAATTATGTTTATGATGAGCTGTGCATATGGTCTGTATTTTTAAATTGAAGGAAATGCAATATGCCACTAACTGTCTTTATTTTCATCATTTTAATTGAAGTATTCATGGTCTCTATGGTTAATGTAGGTTGTTGAGGTCTCTACCTCCAAAACAGGGAAGCATGGACATGCCAAGTGTCATTTTGTTGCAATTGATATCTTCACTGGCAAGAAGCTTGAGGATATTGTCCCATCATCTCATAACTGTGATGTAGGAATTGTACTTTTGTTCATTCAAGATGTTGCTTTTGGTTTTTTCTCATGACTACTGTTTTACTACTGTTTTGCAGGTTCCTCATGTTAACCGTACTGACTATCAGCTGATTGATATTTCTGAGGATGGTTTTGTAAGTAACATTTGTGAATAAAGAATGCCAATTTAGTAGAAGTGTAGAATAATATCCTATTACATCATTTGTTCTTGCTACTTTGAGTTACTTTGAACTGTGAAACTTGGTGTTGTCATTGTGTTATAAATATTTGTGTAACAATAAATGGCTCCTAATATGCAAATTTCATCATATTGACTTTTGTTCGATATCCTTTTCTAGTAAGGTGTATATGTGGAGTCATTATTCGTTGGCATGCTTTTATAAGATTCTTGCTCAATTGTAATTTCAACCTACCTTCATTGTTTTCTTTCAGGTGAGCCTTCTGACTGAGAGTGGCAACACCAAGGATGATTTAAGGCTTCCGACAGATGAAAATCTCTTAACTCAGGTTCCAAAAGCTCTTGAATTGAAAGAAGTTATTTTGTCACATTTTGTTCCCCGAGTACCGTGAGGATTTGATTTTCCATACTCAGTGTTGTAAATTGGCCTAGGAAGCTGCTAGGCTGTGGGGATTTCACTCCTAGGTGCCTTTTAGTCGGCCGTGCCCAACTTGGCCGAGTGTGTGTGTGTGTGTGTGTTATTGTTATTATTATTATTATTATTATTGTTATTGTTATTGTTATCGCCTTTTGTAACTTTGTCCATACTCATTTAACTTCTGAATTTTACTTGGCAGATTAAGGACGGATTTGGTGAAGGAAAAGATCTTGTTGTATCGGTCATGTCTGCAATGGGGGAGGAACAGATCTGTGCTCTCAAGGACATAGGCCCAAAGAACTAAGATAAGTAGCGAGTATTTACATCTTAATGCTTGCTTTGATGCATGCGTGGATCGTTGAACATTTCTGGATCATTGGCTGTATTGCACTATTGTTGCTTTAGTCATAGTTTTGAACTCTGTTTCGTGATATATATATTGAAAGTTTAGACATACAATCCTATATTTACCTGGTGGTGTTTTTTCTCATCTATTTTATTTTATGTATGGTCACCCAAGCCCTCATATATTGCCTATCATAAAAAGTTGGATTTAAATTTGTATTCCAGAATTATTTATTGCCTCATCTGGGACTTTCAGTAACAGAAATTGAGTAATGTTATCTTTTAAGCAATGCAATCAACTAAGAAGGAATTCATCAACCATAGTTTGGTAGCACAAAATTATCAATTTGGGTGTTTCTTTAGCTACAATTGTCCAGCTTGAGTAATACTGTCTGTACTTTGTGGACCTTTCTTCATGGGAGTGTCATTTTAGTTGCCATTTTCTATTATGTGTGGCTAAAGTATTTCACAGTTGTTATACCATGGTCCACCTTGCGAGGTGGACTTGGGTCTAAAATACACAATTTATATATTGAATGTTCACAATTTACCTATTAAATGTTTATTACAATTTACCTTTTACAAAATTGTGAACGTTCAGTATGTAAATTGTGTATATTGAATTTGGGTCCACTTTGTAAGGAGGACCCGGGTCCACAGAATACTTTGCCATTGTTTTACAACATTCAATATCCCATCTATTTTCAATATTTCTTTCTTTTTCGATGGTTTTATCTATCAACCAAATATTTGTAGGCCTATAATAATGTCAGTATTTTTTATTTTATTTTCATTTATTAATTTTATTTAAAGTTTAAATAGTATCTCAAATTAATTAATTATCAAATAAAATATAATATACAGTAACTTTTAAAATCTAATTAGAATTATAATTATTTTACATATAATTTCTAACTTATATATAAAAACAAATTGAATAATATTTTTTTTTAGAAACAAAAATTAAAAATAAGATTGTAAAGAAGTGTAGCCACTTCATTACAACGCAGAACAGACTTACTTTATGTGGCGCACTAGCGGTTGTAACCTTTTGTATTTCCTTTTTCTTTTTCTATATGAATTTTCAAATCTTACTTCTTCAATTTTATTTTCTGATGATCTTATTTGATGCGTTTTGAAAAGCTAATTTTTTTATTTTCTGATGATCTTATTTGATGCGTTTTGAAAAGCTAATTTTTTTAGAGTAAAAAATGGGAGGATAACATTTTCCTCTTCTTTTCTCATACTTCCTAAGCTTGTTAGGTCTTGTACCTACACCTAAAATTTTGCACTCCCCAATCATTTGCTTGGTAGTTATGTATTGATTTGGCATCTCAAAAGCTACCATTGGGATGCCCTTGGTCTATTAAAAGTACAACAAATAATTTACACTGAGCAACAATATTAAGTACATCAAATGTTATTATTAATGCACAAATGTGTAAGATGTTATTATTAGGTGCATTAATGTGATGTGAAAAGATAAATTACTCGCACTATTAAGTGAAAATAGTTGCACAGTTATTGTACTTGTACTTTTAATACATGTTACTTGCACCAAAGTTTGATTTATTTACAAAAAAATTTACATATGATCCGTTAGATCTGGACAAGTGGACGGCTGTGATTAATTCTCGGTTCTTTCTTGGTCATTTGTTCTCTATATATTCCATTTCATATGGAATAACATTCTTGTTCATTCAAAATTCATTTCATGAAACTATTAGTGAATTGAATTACATCAAAATCTTACAAACATTGAACCATTTACTTTATTTCTCCATTTTTCATTTCTCAAGTTTATGACTCGCATAATTTATTATTTTTTTTCAAGCCTCCATATTCATTTTCGAAGCTCAATTTACTAGAAATCTAAATACAAATTTGAATGAGTGAAAGTTAGGAATAATATGGGGAAAGAGAGTCGTGGATGACGACCAAAGAGAAAATTGTGGTTAGCGATAGAAGAGAGTCAGGAATTGGATTGTGATTTTTGATGGAGGAAATGCTGGGATGAAAAGGGCAGTGATGAAAGCTCGATAGAAAGTTGAGGATTTCCCTACAATAATTAATTATTATAATTACCCAAAAAAAAAAAGTAATTATTATAATTTTTAATTTTTATCTAAATTATTTATACTCAATTGATATTTAATTACCAATGACCTTGTGGTCTAGTGGGCATAAGTAGATCCCACAAAAGGGAGATTATGAATTTGAGCCCCATTGGAGGTCATATTGACTCTTTATGCCTCAGTAGATAACAAAGTCAGTAGTATAAAAAAAGTTGATATTTAATCATTATCTAATCATTTTTTTGTTTGAATGCTACTGGCTTTCTCAATCTACTGAAACACAAAGAACCAATAACGCCTCTACTGAGGCTTAAACTCACAACCTTATGGAAGTCCAACCCCGGTACCATTAGACCCATGGTCTTGGTAGCTATTCAAATATTTTACTTTAGAATAAATTGCATTGTATGCGTAAGAATATTTTTTTCTCTTCCATTTTATCAATTTTTATAATTAGTTTGTTATTATGTTGACCATTTCAAATTACATTAAGGATATTTTTACACAAGTTCAAATACCTTTTAAAGCATTAGGGAGGAGGGAGTTGAAGGAGCTACTTCTTATATACTTCCTTTATCATATTTTACTTGTTTGATTTATTATTCATTAGTCAATTAACTCTTTTTTTTTTTTCTTTTTAAAAACATTTTTGAAATAAATAATACATTTGATCTAATGTTAAATATATTAATTTTATATATACTACGAACTAGCAATAAACTAAATACATATTTTCCAAAAATTAAATTGCACATAACTTAAGTCAAATCTTGTCAATCAAAACATACACAAAAATTGACCCGGTAATATTATATATTGAATATACAAGTCTTTGTGATTGGATAATCCATTATATTTGCAAAATAAATTAGTGACAAATTAAAGTGGACAGAACCTTCTGAGTGCTTGAGGCTACCCAGTATGGCGCCTTCTGAGTGCTTGAGGCTTTCCTCGGGTGTCCCCCTTCCAACAGTATCCAAAAAAAAGTGGACAGAACCTTCGAAGTTCCTAAACAATCATTCTTTATATATGACAACTAGTTTTATACCCGCATTGCGCGAATGAGTTAATCTCCAATGTTTATAATTAAATAAATATTTGAAAGTATATCAATGCAAAATTATATATAAGAAGTTCATATATGAGTAATTTAATGTCGAATTTTTTTGTTAAAATATGTAACTCATAGTATATGAATACAATGTAATATATGAGATTCATTATAATTGTTACTAAACTTTTTTTAAATAGTAACAAAGTATTTTTGTTTCAAAGGGTTCTAATATATTTAATTAATGCACATATATACAAGATCAATGAATGAATCAACGGTATCAATCCTTTAGGTGTTTTGCTCAGTGTTCAACGGTGCCAATCCTTTAGGTGTCTCAGTGTTCATTTAGTTCAACCATTATTGTTGAATAAATTATTATGGATAAAGAAATTTCTAATTTAAGGAATTTAGATGAAGTAGTAAAAATTTAATTAATTATAATGTAACCCAAAGATATTGGACGATTGGTAAATATGATGTAACCCAAAGATCAAAATGCTAAAGAAAGTGTTTGGTTATTTAACAATTTGAGCCAACAATTTGTTCTAAGCCACTGAAAATACAAACATTGCAATTTACAATATTTTCACTTAGCGTCTTTTAGAATGATTTTCCCAAAACACACACACACACACACACACACACACACACACACACACACACACACACACACACACATATATATATATATATATATATATATATATATATATATATATTAAAGTTTATTGTAGAGCCATTTCGACTCCTTGAATAACAAGAGGCAGTTTCACTGGCTCACTGCTTGCCCATCAACGGATGGGCAATCTTAATTTTTAAATTGTAGCCTTAATGCTCCTTTTATTGGAGCCTCAAGTTCCCATGCCACTTTTTCCACCGATGTGGGAAAAGTCACAAAACTAAGACTCTCCATATGTTTTTTTTTTTTTAATTTTTATTTCGTTTATTAAATTATTATTATTTTCATTTTTATTTTTTAAAAAAATAATAAAAATAATAATAATACTAATAATAATAATAATAATAATAATAATAATAATAATAATAATAATAATAATATTATTATTATTATTATTATTATTATTATTATTATTATTATTATTATTATTATTATTATTATTATTATTATTATTATTATTATTATTATTATACCCTTAGGTCATTTTACATGTTAATCTAAACAGTTAATTTTTTTTAATATCTTTTTACCAACAATTGATATAATTCGCTGGTTAAATCCGCTAACGCTAACCGCTAACTGCTGATTGCCAAACAAGGACATTGCGAGATAGTTTTCCACTTCAATTTGTTGTGTGATTTTATTATTTTAATACTCTCTTAGTCTCTTTGTCAACAAATGTCTCAAGTAGTTAATTTGATTGACTTAATTATATATATATTTTTTAATTTTTTCATGGTATTAATAAAATACTTGGTAAATAAATATATAACATTAATTTGTATTATAACTTTGATATTTAATTAAAAAATAGGGCACAGAAAAGATAATAGAAAATCTAGTGAATATAATCAATTGATGAATTTGAATGTAAAGAATTTTTACATTAGAGAAAAATAAAGACAATATAACTAATAAAATTATTTCTCTTAATTAATTTATTGATAAAGATTTTTTTTTTGTTTGAATAAAGACATTGTAGGGACAATGTAGTGAGTATAATCAATTGATGAATTTTAATGTAAAAAATTTTTATATTGGAGAAAAATAAAGACAATATAACTAATGAAATTATTTCTCTTATTTAATTTATTGATAATGAATAATTTTTTTTTGAATAAAGTCATTATTGACACCAAGGGCCTTGTGGTCCAATAATGGGACTAGGTTGCTCCCATATGTGGGAGATAGTGGGTTCGAACCTACCTTAGTTGAGACGTAGTTTAAATCTGTGGGTATCTTCTTTATAAATTAAAGAAGTGCATATTTATTATTTTTTGTTATAGCTACTAAATTATTGTTTAATTTAATAAGAGTAAAATAGAGTACTAGAATGCAAAAAAAAAAAAAAAAAAAAAGAAGAGTAAAATAGAGTACTAATTATGCCAACTTTGATTGGGATGGAGTTCGAACCTAAGATCTTTCTTATTGAAATCAATGAGTAAATTAATGGTGAACTAATAAAAATTAACGGAGAAGATCATACTTAACGAAAAAGTTAACGAATAATCATATAATTAAGGATAAATTAGGAAATCTTAAAAAAAAATTAAAATCTAATCAATATGAGCCATTCATTTGATTATAAATATTTGATGTCATTTTTTCTACCCATACGTCTAAGGCTCTTATTAGTATAGTAGATTATTCTTCCAAATTTTAATCATCAAGTCGTCTCAAAAGGTACTCAATCTCAACTTTTTTAGTTAGGGGCATCACCCAATCTTCATAAACTCGAGAAACTAGTGGGGGATCAACCTTGTAGGTTTCTGTTGAATTATCTGTATGGTCGAGAGTCACTTCTCTCCCAAACACCCTAGCTTTCTTCGCCACTCGCTTTTTCACCTTTTCTTCAACAGCTTCAAATGTCACCAGCTTCATTAGAGCATCTTTGTCCTGCAGGCATAGGAAAAGTACGTAAGAAAATTTTACAAGGAAAATACTTGGTGTACTCTCATTTTATACTCTCAATTTGTACTTCCTCTCACATATTTTTGATTGTAGACATTTTTCTGTGGACCCATATGATGAAACTAACCAATTTTAATTTACCATCTTAGGGAATACAAATAAGGGAGTATAATTTGAGAGTGCATGTAGTAGAACTCATTTTACAATCCCTTGATTGTAATATCATTTGTAGTTTGCAAAATTGTATGCTATTTTTACATTTGGATGGTTAGTTTGTGGCCTCTCTCTCTCTCTCTCTCTCTATATATATATATATATATATATATATATATATATATATATAAAATAGTTCCCTCCAACCAAATAATGTAATTTAGGGCTTCAACGAATTTCAATTCAATTGCAAGGAAATTACATTCAACCAAACAACCTGTAAAGAAATTGTTTTCGGAAGAAAGATGAAGAAATGTATAGATGAGATGGGAAAGTGCAAAGTTGTCAGGGTGTTTGAAGGTAAAAATGTAAAAAGAGTGTTTTTTTTTTCACCGTCTTAAAATACATGCTAAAAGTAAGTAAGACACATAATTCGGGGATTGAGGGAGTATTATATATAAGATTTAAAATATTAATTAATTAATTATATATGCAATTCTGCTATGTAATGACAATTTATTTTCTTAAATTGTCTATTATTGTTTTTCTATAAAATACAACATTTATGTTATAAAGTATTTGTTAGTATTTAAGTATTGTAAACCCCAACTTGTAATTGGCAAATTATTATGAAAACTAGATATGTCAGGTTTAGTGTCTGTTATAGTACTGACTACTGAGTGAAGATCTGGCGGAACAAACACTGAGTGAAGATTTGGCGGAACAGTCACTAAGTGAAGATCCGGCAGAACAGACACGGCATCACACGGGTTTTAGGAAATTAGCCGTTGGATTTCACAGCCTTTGCATTCATATGGAGCAGTTACCATATTGAGTTTTTAAGAAACTATCACTTTGTATTCCATGTTACCAAAAAGGTGACGTGACAAGTAATCTTGGTCTACAAGAAAACCCTAGAAGATTACTTGACATCCAAGAATCAGAGTATTATATATAGAGAGTTGTTTTTAGGAGAGAAGAATAAGAGAGAGGTGCTTTACAAGAAATATCCTTCAAAAATTTGAATATCAATAAACTCTCTCTCTTTGAATTACAAAGAGAATACTCCGAGTTATCATCTTCTCAAGACACCATTGATGATATGAATTTAAGAAGACTTTTGGGAAAAATTTCTACAAAGCTTAAATTAGAGGACCGTATTCCATACAACTGTGGTGTAGTGGTGGGTGTGTCAACGAGACGGACAGCGACAACACCGACCTCCAAAGGGACTTTGGACGCTGAAGCACGGATCTCCGAACTCGACAATCATCTATACGCTTCAAAAGATTGGGTACTACCGTGTGGTGTGTAGCACACATTGGGTGAGAAAGGTGTTATTTTACCATCTGTTTGATTTGTTGTTTAGATAGTGGATTAGACTCACTAATGGTGGTCCCCTAGACATAGATACTGTTGTATCGAACTGGGTAAACAAAATCTTTTGCCTTTTATTTCTGTTTGGTTTAATTTCCACACCTAATCGTATCTCTAACACACTTAATGGTCGAACAGTTGTATACTATATTAGTGACAAGATAGTCACTCAAACAGATCGATACTGGTTCATAATCTAGACACACTATATACATAAATACAAAAAATTTCAATTGGTATTAGAGCTGATAAGTCTACAAAATGACTTGATCTGTAAGGGAATTATAATTTATGTATTTTGTGATATTCTTGGTTGAAATTGAGTATTGATCAAGCTAAAGCACACAGTAAATGACCTTGAAGTGGTTCATAGGCTAATTGGTAGACAAATTGGATGCTGCTCGTACTGATTTTGCTACTGTCTTACTTCGATTGAGTATGTCAGATGCTGAACCGGTCGTTGCTATTGTTGATTAGGTCAATGAGGGGGAACCCCGTTGCGTGATTTACTTTGTCTATTATTTTGTCAAAAAAGGGGAGTAGTATACATTGAGGGGGAGTTTGATAATTTGATGGAGTTTCTTTAAGGACAATTGGTTGATTTGGAAATGATTTTATCTTTATGCTTGTAATTGCTCTTTTGCTTAAGTTTTTTGGTTGTTTAATTGTATTGTTCTTTATTGAGTTGTTTTGCCAAATAATAGCCAAATGGGGAGTTTGTTAGTGTTTAAGTATTGTAAACCCAAATTGTAATTGGCAAATTGTTATAGCAAACTAGATAGGTCAGGGTTAGCGTATGTTATAGTACTGAGTGAAGATGTAGCGGAACAGACACTGAGTAAAGATGTAGCGGAACAGACACTGAGTAAAGATGTAGCGGAACAGACACTGCATCACGTGGATTTTTGGAAATTAGCCGTTGGATTTCACAGCCTTTCCATTCATATGGAGTAGTTACCATATTGGGTTTTTAAGAAACTATCATTTTTGCAGTCCGTGTTACCAACAAGGTGACATGACAAGTAATCTTGGTCTACAAGGAAACCCTAGAAGATTTCATGACATCCAAGAATCAGAGTATTATATATAGAGAGTTGTTTTCAGGAGAGAAGAATAAGAGAGGCAAGAGAGAGGTGCTTTACAAGAAATATCTTTCAAGATTTGAATATCAATAAACTCTCTCTTCGAATTACAAAGAGAATACTCTGAGTTATCATCTTCTCAAAACACCATTGATGATATGAGTTTAAGAAGACTCTTGGGAAGAATTTCTACAAAGCTTAAATCAGCGAACCGTATCCCATACAACTGTGGTGCAGTGGTGGGTGTGTCAGTGAGACGGACAGCGAAATCACAGATCTCCGAGCTTGACAATCCTTTATAAGCTTCAACGTGTGGTGTGTAGCGCACATTGGGTGAGAAGGTGTTCTTTTACCATCTGTTTGATTTGTTGTTGAGATAGTGGATTGGACTCACTGATGGTGATCCCCCATACATAGATACTGTTGTATCGAACTGGGTAAACAATATCTTTTATCTTTCATTTCTGTTTGGTTTAATTTCTGCACCTAATCTTATCCTTGACACACTTATTGGTCGAACAGTCGTATACTAGATCAGTGATAAGACACTCACTCAAACATATCGATACTGGTTCATAATATAAACACACTATATACACAAATACAAAAAAAAAAATTAGTATTCTAACTATTTTAAAATAAATTTCACAAATTTAAAATATCTATTTATCCCTCTAAACTTTTAACTTTTTACTTTGGACAAGGACCATCAATTTGGATATATTGAAATGTATTAGAACTTTAATTTGTATTCTAAGCACACTAGAATTAATTCTCTCTCTTCCTATATATTATAGGAATATTATATTACCATTCCTGGCATGAACTCTTTATATCCTTATAAATACATCTGTTCATCATGTACTTTACATCATCATGGATTGATCAATAATAAGATCATTCTCGAAACTATTGTTCTAATATGGTATCAGTGTCCTGTTGTAGTATCACTCCAAATGAGTGTCCCGTTGTAGCTGCGCTCCGGATGAGTGTCCCGTTGTAGCCGATCCTGCAATCTAAAATTTGGTCCGTCGAGATTCTTTTATTTTGTTCGCGACAAAATAACATCAGAGGAACTACAAGGAAATTAAACTACATCTCTACAAAATGACAAACTGGCATACATCTTCACCAAGTCACAACAAGGCTAAATGATCTAAGAGACAAGTTCAATGTTCTCTCTAGAGAACTTTAAACTTGAGGGGGCGTACGTATTAGACTATGTATTCTAGGCATACTAAAATTCATTCTCTCTCCCTATATTATTAGAAATATTATTATTTACCATTCCTATATTTATATAAGTTATAAATGTATCTCTTCATCATTTACTTTACATCATCATATATTGATCCATAATTATAAGATCATTTCCAGAGCTATTGTTCTAATTAAATGTAAATCCCCGAACATGCAGTTTTGTGTCCTATCAGCAACTGTATAAATGATAGAAACAAATTGGCGACCGCAGAAAAATTGGAAACACATGAAAATACCTGACCACGAATAGCTGTTTTATACTTGTCTGGATTCTCCCTGAATTTAGCCTCAGCGACAATTTTTCCACAATGAATCCTTCTAGAGAGTGCCTTCAAGATGATATAATAGTTAAAAATAAAAAAGAAAATTGTACTTTTATATATAATTGTGTAATTGGTATATAGATGATTAAGATATCTCATTTAAAACTACGAGTTTGTAAATTTTAAAATTGTCAATAATTATTTTGGAAAGTAAAAATTGTACTTTTGATTCATCAATTATGATAGTATATCATATTTAGTTCATGAATTATTGGCACCTTCATGTTTAGTTCTCGTACGTGTTGATATTTAGGTAGTGTTTTTTTATGTCTCGTATAAGTAGTATGTGGTAGACTTAAAGAGATGAGACATTATTAATTACTAGCTATAAAGTGGTGTTTGAATTCGATCAACGAGAGTAAGTTTTTCACTTTTTTACATCTAAAAAATCACTTCAACATTAACTTGAGGACCAAATGTAAATGTGCTAATAATTGAGAAGTTAGTGTGACCATATATACCTTCATAACTAGGACACAAAAAACATCATAACTTCTTCTAATAGAAAATTATAAATTATTACCTGCAAAAGTTGTAAGTCACTAGAAGCCGTAACTGCATAATTTCCATCGTCACCCTTTTTGGCCAAGAGTGGAAGCAACTTCCCTTGATACACATCCCAGATTTCATGACTTACATTGACGGTATTGGGATGCAAAAACTGCATCAAGTATTAGAGCATCCGCATCAGAATGAAAGGATAATGTAAGAGTGATTAGGAAATAGAAGAGGGAAAGAGAAATAAAAAAGGAAAAAAAGAAAAAGAAAAATTGAATTTAAATAAAAAAAATATTTTAATTAAAATTAAAAGTGGGCCCCACATTTCTGAATTCTCCCCACATTTGCAGAAGCACCCATTTTTTTCTTTCTTGCTTCTCTCTCTTCTACATGACATTAATTTCTGACATTATGCATTGATGTAGATGCTCTTTTTTTTTCTTATCGATAAAATTAAAGAAAAAATTTAATGTATCGATCAACACTTGTCATCTTCTATATATTTGGCACTATCTTACAATATTTGATACAAACTGAAAAATTTTTAAAGAAGTTTTGACTTATATTTGATATAAAAGGTCCTCCAATTGACACTATCAAAATTTGCTAAAATTAAAATATGTGCTGTAAATTTCTTCTAACAATACAGTACAGTTATCATTCGTGGACTAATAACGATAGATACTAAATTGTTGTTTCAAAATGTTGAATCCCGAATTCCAAGGGCCCCATGCCCCGGTCCAATAGTGCATTTAGAAGGGTGTAAATCATGGTAACTTAGTTGAACACAAAATCTAGACTAGGCTCCGACCCGACAGTGCATTTGGGAGAATGTAAATCATGGTAACTCGGTTGAATACAAAGTCTAGACCTTTGCTTACTGTCCACAATGAGTCCCTCACTTTGAGAGGTTGCTCCGCACTGTCGTTGGTGAGACTCGATCCTGAGTCATTGTTCCCAAACTTTATCCTATGATCAACTTAGCTGCCCATGCGGGCATAATTGGTACTAAATTAACATACCCGTTCGATCCAGTGACTTTTTGGCTCCAATAATGGTCGGGGCAAATCGTCTGGGAAGAAAGGGACTTCCTCAGGGGATAAATATCTTCCAACCTGTAATGCATGTCTTGAAGTAAATATAGATCACAACTTTCAGAAAATATTTTCACATGATTGAACAATAATTCATCAGTTGACTTCTACTCTCCGAAATTAAACATATATTATACATTATAGTGGAGTGGTGGCAATTGAAAGAATACTTTATATCCGATAGATTTTTAAAAAAAAAAAAAACTATGATCACACATTTGGGAAGAATATAATTCACATTTAATGTATTCTAAATATTTAAGGAAATAAAAACATACCATTTAATTGATCCCACATTTATTAAGGAAATATAAATACAAAAATGAGCGAAAAAAATTCTTTTCACACACACACAAGCACTTATTTATTGGATGAAAAATTTTATAAACTTATAATTATTGTATCATTATCATTAATCTTATATATTTATAATTTTATGTAGTATTATAATTGATTATTAATATATTTATTAATGTTTGGAATCAATTTTGATTAATTACACAATAATAAACTACAAAATAAATAAATTATAATAATTTTAAACTAAAATATTTAATTACAATATACTTCATATTTTTAATTTATACTGCGTATATATTTATTTATTCAAAATATATAATTCACATATAATATATTCTAAAATATTTAAGAAAATTAAAAAAAAATGTCATTTATTAGGAATTGATCCCATTTATTAAAAATACAATGCATTTATATATAGAAGTAATGGATAGATGGAAAATTTCTTTAGAAACTGTGTTATATATATATATATATATATATATATATATAGAGAGAGAGAGAGAGAGAGAGAGAGAGAGAGAGATGGAATGCAGGAAATAATGGATTACCTTGGATTGAAGAGCTTCGCTTCTTTTGACGAAGTACTCGAACAGCTTTCCCCGAAACCTGGAAGAGGTCTGGTTGTATAATGGGGAGTTGGTTGGGTACTGGGCTCTCTCGATGAGCCCGAAAACAATGGTGTCCTCTTGCCGGATCAGGCTCCTCCGTATCGAAGCAAGGGTGGGCTGAGCTTCATCGCCACCGAAAGCTGTCGTCGTTATTTGGCTGACAAGACAAAATCCCAGAAACAATTTTGCAAGAAAAATTCTCGAGGACTTCAAGGTTGATAAAGACGAGGACGACGATGAAGGCGCTGCGGAGAAATGGCGGAACGAGATCATTGGCATCATGGCGTGTGATGGAAGACAGTGTCAAGAAGTGTTTGTTATCGAGAGAATCTTTAGTTTGTGGTTTGTATGGAGACAATGGAGAATTGGAGATATTACTCTTTCCACTTATATTTATATATATATAGGACAAAAATACCGTGATTAGCTTTCTTTTAAATAAAATGACATTATTTACACTTTTTCTCCTTGTATTATATACTTAGCAAACTTTTCCCCCTAAATTATTCATGTATCCACATTAGTCATCTCTATTATTTTAAAAGTGATGATTTTTTCTCAATCTTTACTCTTAAAATAAATATTTCATTTATTTTTAATTTTCAACAAATTATTACTTATATGTAGGGATGACCACGATTTGGTTCAAACCGAACCGACACTGTAGCAACCAAACCGAAAGATTTTGATTATGATTTAGAAAAGATACCCAATATTTGAGTTTCAGTTTATTAAAATTGTGAACCAAAACTGTCGGTTTTGGTTCTGAACTGAAAAAAAATAAAATACATTTTGTTGAATTTAAGATATTTAAAAGTACAAATAAATTTTTTAAAAATAAAATTTGAACCAGCGGTTCAAACTAGATTCGGGACCGTGAACCGGCGATTCAAAACCAGAACTGAATCGCGATTATATCTATTTATATGTGAGAATTAGAATTAAAAAAAAAAAGAACATACACAATTTGTAATAAATATTATAATTATAATTTTAAGTTAATGTTAGTAGTTGTTCTGATTTCGAACCGTCGGTTCACGGTTCAGGATCCAGTTTTAGTAAACCAAAACCCAAAATTGGTTTCTGGTTCTGAATCATAAAAGAAACCTTTCGATTCGGTTGCTACAGTGTCCAGTTCGATTTGAACAGAACCGTTGTCGCCACTACATATAAGCAGTAATTTATTGAACAAAAATAAATTAAATATTTATTTTAAGGGTAAAAATGTCCATATAATATATCAGGGGAAAAAACCGTCACTGTTTGAATAATTGAAGGGGCTAATGTGGTACATGAATAATTAAGAGAAGAAAGTACTATAAGAGCATCCACAATGGTTGGAGAGAATTGGGAGATAATGTAAGAGTGATTAGGAAAGAAAATGTGGAAAGGAGAGAGAAAAAAAAGACAAAACAGATTTAAAAAATAAAAGAAAAATAAAAAAAAAATGGTCAGGTGCGCCTGACACACCCACGGGAGCGTGCAATGCACGCGCCCGTGTGGCTGGCTGCTGTGCGCGAAACGCGCACAACAACTTATCTTTCCTGATATTTCTCTTCCCTTGGGAAGAGAAATATTTTATCATTTGTAGGAAAAATAACTCTAACATTAACCCCACCCCACATTTGTAAATAACCCCACCCAAGTTATTTCTTCTTACATTAACCCCATATTATTCACTAGTGTGGATGCTCGAAGCATATAATTTAAAGAAAAAAGTGTCATTTTCTCTTTAATTAATAAATAGATGTTTTAAAATGGAAGATGGATCCGTTTTTTAGAAAGTAATATTTGTTTTATAGAAATACAATCACACAATATTGTAGTTGGCATATCAGTACATCAATGGTAATAAGTAAATAAAAAATGTTTTATTACCATTAAAGAATTTTGAATAAATCTTTTTATCTCTATCAAGTTATATTACGCTAGCAGAAAATGTTAGGTAAGTTGAGATATTCATAAATAGTAAATGAAAATATTTACTTCTATATGATTTAATGAATCTATAGATATTTTTATGAGTTTGGGAGATCAAACACGTGTATGTTGTGTATCTTTAAAAGATTTTAGTTTGACGTTGAAACTTATCTTTAAAAGACTTACATCAAATGGGCCTACCAAAATTTTACTATGCAAAATGTAAATACCAATGCAATAACAACAATAATAATACTCCATAACAATAACAATAATAATAATTATTTGATAGAGACATGGACCGTACCCAGGGTCCATTTTGTTGTGAAAGTTTGGCCCAATCGTTAAAGCGTGGTGTTCATTTTTAGAGGTGAGGTGTTGATCAAATAAGAATAATGAAAATTTACTCGACTAAGAAAAGAAGAAAGTTTGGAGCAAAATATTATAAGAATTATTACTAGGCAGTATCAAACTCACAACCTCAAGCATAACAACACAAGTTTCAGATCACCAAGCCACTCAAGATCTTGTATACTAAAGGGTAGAAAACTCCAGTTATGCATCGGAGTGCGCTGGAACCAAAGTAGTGGGGGGACACGTGTGTGGCCAAGAATGAAGGTTGCCCGATGCCGTCCATTTGTTAACCATCCGTGAGTCCTTCAACAATTTAATTAAAAGGCATCCCTTGGCTCAAACCCTTTCTAATCCATTGGTTTGAGTCTCTTCCCTTTTGCTAGCACACTAGTGTTCGATTCCTAGCGGTAACATTATTATTTCTATTTCATTATTCTTCCAAAGGTTGAACCCCAACCCTAAGGGGCCCCCACACCCCGGCCCGACAGAGCATTTGGGAGGATGTAAATCTATTTCATTATTAATGCTATAGCTTGTATTATTTATTATTCGGGTCGCCATTTTGGGCCCTATTCCATTCCTTAGAGCTATAGTATTTATTATTTATGTATTCCTTCGTCTGCCGTTTTGGGCCAATATCTCAGGCTTTGTACGTACTATTTGGGCCTAGCATCCAGAGTAATAAAGCTACAATTTTCTACCTCCACTCTGTACCTCTATACCCGGTTTATAGTGGACCCGATTCCAACAAAACATCATTGGCGTCGTCTGTGGAGAACGCTACGAAAAGCATGTGTTCCCAGTTTCTACCCGTTGTTGGTAGCATGGAAGAGTCATCATTCTTGAATACTCTGGCTAGGAAGATGGTTTTTAAGTAAACCTTGGTTTCACCATTCGACATGGGAGTGTTTTAAGAAGTACAGTGTTGATCATGCAGGCTAGTTGAAGTGCTACTCCTTACCTGAAATGAGTTAGTTTGACTTTCACATGATGTTAAAAATCATGCGTTCCTAGTTTCTACGCGTTCTACCATTTCCATTTACGCAATCAAACCCGAGATACGCTGAAATGGCCGAGTCACAAACCAAGCATTCTTGGAACCTACAAGAACGCCTTAGCAGGCAAGGCGAGGGTCCGTCTGGTTCATGAGGGTCAGTTCTCCACCAAGGAACATGAGAGGTCCGATTGACAATATAGCCGCGCCGTCGGAGGAGGCATTACCATCGGCGGAACTCGAATAATTTTCGTAGCAGGCCACTAACCCGAACACTCAAGGAAATCATCCCCTCACCCTCAGCACTCCACGAGTTGGAATGAGGGAACCACTAAGGAGGGTGTCTAGTGCAAGGGGCCCGAACCCGTAACTAGGACCGAAATGAGGGACACGTCATGGAGGGAGCTCAAACCCGTTCACGACGAGGCCTTCGATGAGAATATTGATCGTACCACGGCAGTTAAGCACCCGCAGCGAGTAACAGGCCTAGACCAAATAATAGCCCCTTGGTGGGCTTGCAAGCAGCTCGAGGGAAGTAAGAAAAAATATTTCTACATTGAAAAAAATATTAACATATATTTTTGGTTGGGCTTAAAGGCTAAGCAAGCTACCAAAAAAAATGGATGTGGTAGCGGACCTACATACAGTATAAGTGGTCCCGACGCGAGCTGGAAGCTCTACGATCTATACAGGATACACGGCAATAAACAATAGCATTCAAATGGGCTTTGACAATAAACAATAGCATTCAAATGGGCTCGCAGACTGGGTTGGTAGCTCGTGGAGGTATTAAAGCAATTTTCAACTTCATTTTTGTACTAGTACCCGTGAGCTTAGTTGGGAAAGCACTACAAGCGGTCTTGGAAAAATGGTGATTAGATTGGCAAGCAACCCGAGAAGGTAATAAAAAAATCACTTTTATTATTTTCTTATTACTCTTCACCACCTTTCATTTTCAATGTTGGGTCCGCAATGCAGGGTAGATGGCCCAAGAGAAAAAAAAAAAGAGAAGAAAAAAAAAGTGGGCCCACCTCACATCTCATACGGGGATCGCAAGGTAGGCGGACAGTACGCATCTTCACCTGGACTAGTAGGACATGATCCTAAACCCAGCATATGGACCCTCACCTGGGCCTGCAGGCAAGGTACGCATCCTAACGTGCATTACCAAAAAAATAAAAAATAAAAATAACGTGTGTGGTGCTAGCATGAGGTAGCAGGTAACGAACATACGAGTACACCCAGGTTAATGGGATGCGATCCCCAAGCCCAGGATGAACACATTTCTACCTAGGCATGCAGTGCAAGGAATGCAACCCAGCGTGCTATTATAAAAAAAACGTGTGTGGTGCTAGCATGAGGTAGCAGGCAGCTCACATACGAGTACACCAAGGTTAAGGGGGCGCAATCCCTAAGCCCATGATTTACACATTTCCAGACATGTATCTATCTCGCTTCTCAGCGGTCATCATATTTCTATCCCACTTCTCAACGGTCGACATATTATCTATCCCGCTTCTTAGCGGTTGACTTATTATTACCCCTCTACTAAGCGGTCAACGGTATTATCTATCTCGGTTCATAGCGGTCGACTTATTAGGAACTTGGATCTTCTATAAGGAACCTGGGACTCAACACAAACAAGGGAGCACTTGATCACCGTGTTCAGGCATGTGAAACACACTATCGTAAAAGTTTCTGATTTCCCTTACTAAGCAGAAAGGGTAACCAAATCATAACTTTTGATATACAAGAAGATGTACCAAGGGAGTAACTTGAGGCTTTTAATATGTAAAATTCCTTTCGTAAACTCTGCAATAGCTTAGTCAAGAATCTTATATCCTGACAACGTATGAAAATTCTATGGGCAAGAGGAGTATATGGAACCTAAGCCCAATGATCAAAGGCAATACTATTATCATGGGCATGGTGAGCACCATCACTTGAAGAACAAGTTCGACGACAACCCCCACGGAGAAGAAGACCAACTGCAGACTACATGAATCCAACTTATGATGTTTATATTAGTATATACTTGACCTCCAGGGATTGAGACAAACAATTTTGAAGTGAAGTCGGCGGTGAGCAAACTAGTGGCATCCAACCAATTCTATGGATTACCGCCCGAGGACCCATGGCCTATCCAAAATGCTTTGTGCATTTATGTGCTCTCCTCAAGACCAATGGTGTGTCAGATGATGCTCCATAATTTCAATTATTCCCATTTTCATTATTGGGAGAATTTTCCAAGTGGATTAACTCATTTCCCTGCCATCACTTTCATAGTTGGGATCAAATGAAGCAAGAATTTCTTCAAGAGTACTTTTTTTTTTCCATTAGGACTATCAAGCTCAAAAAGCAACTTCAAGACTTTTGCAAAGCTCCAATGGAATCCTTGAGTGATGCATGGAAGAGGTTCAAGGAGATTCGTCGTCAAATTCCAACACATTTATTGACTCATCAATGGGATGCGGTTAGTTTTTTCTATAGAGAATTGGGTGATGAGTCGAAGTTGTTTCTTGATTCATCTTTGAATGGAGCATTGCTCAAGTTAGATTCCATGGAGGTTGAAGCCCAAATAGAGAATATTGCCAACAACACCTCTTATTGGTATAACACAAAGGAATCTTCGAGACAATTGCAATCTAGAATGTATGAGTTAGTGATGCTAAAGCTATGGATACACAAATGGATGCCATGCTTCAAAAGCTCTCTTTTTAGATGGTGGAGCTAGTGTTGCAGAAGTCCACCAAAGCTTCCACATATTCTTTATATATGTCCTTGTCTTTAAACTGTTGTGGAGGACCTCATGGGATGTGGAATTGTTAAGTGTTGGAACTGTAGAACAATATGTATATTTCATCTATTGCTGTACAGGAAGAATGACTATTTATACACAGGCTGAAAGACTACTAGCCATAGGATTTAAAATTCAAATTAAAGACTGAACATCTAACTCTAACAACCCTTATTCATCTAACACTCCCCCTCAAGCTGGAGCATAGATGTCAATCATGCCCAGCTTGTTACAAATATACTCAACCATGGCTTTACTAAGACCTTTCGTAAGCAGATTTGCTAGTTGATCACCAGTTCAGACATGAACAGTCGAAAGTAGCCCTTGTTGAACCTTTTCTCGCACAAAGTGACAATCTACCTCAATATGTTTAGTGCACTCATGAAACACAGGATTACTAGAAATGTGTATAGCAGCCTTATTGTTACACCACAAAGGAATTAGTTTATTCACCTTTACACCAATCTCCCCAAGAACATTACACAACCACATCACCTCACATGCCACATGAGTCATTGGTCTATACTCAGACTCTGCACTAGAGCGTGAGACAACACTCAGCTTCTTACTTTTCCACGACACTAGATTGCCACCAAGGAACACACAATACCCCGTTGTCGACTTCCTGTCACTCAGTGACCCAACCCAATCAGCGTCAGAGAAGGCTTCAACACTCATATGCCCATGATTGGCATACAAAATTCCTCTCCCAGGAGCACTCTTTAAATATTTCACAACCCTCACTGCAGCTTCCCAATGAAACTTTGTAGGATTTGCCATGAACTGACTTACCACACTTACCGGAAAGGTAATATCCGAACGAGTGATAGTAAGGTAGTTTAACTTCCCCACTAGCCTCCTATATCGCTCTGGATCTTCAAGAGGCTCCCCCTCACTAGGTATAAGCTTAACACCCTGGTCCATAGGAGTTTCACACGGCTTCGACCCTAAGAGCCCAGATTCTTCAAGTAAATCTAGCACATATTTCCGTTGTGAAAGAAATATGCCTCTCTTAGAACGAATAACCTCAATCCCAAGGAAATACTTCAATACTCCCAGATCTTTCGTATGGAACTTCTCTTTAAGAAAAGATTTGAGTGCATCAATTCCCGTCGCATCATCACCCGTGATCACTATATCATCAACATAGACAATTAACAAAACACTGCCAAGGTTAGAATGTTTATAAAAAATAGTGTGATCATAGGCACTACGTTGCATGCATGCCAAACTCAGTAACTATACTACTGAATCTCCCAAACCACGCTCTGGGAGATTGTTTTAACCTATACAAAGACTTCTTCAGCTTACAAATCTCCCCCTGAGCAACAAACCCAGGTGGTTGCTCCATATACACCTCTTCTACCAAATCTCCATGTAGAAAGACATTTTTGATATCTAATTGGTATATATTAGGAACGGGCTTGGGGCAAACCGACCCTGGAAGGCATGGTGCAAGGGGCCAAGGGCCCCGAGGTGGTCGCGGTGCGATATGAGGGGACTTTGGCGACCCAGTTGGGGTCGACCTCAGCGTCGGCCTCGGTTGGGGCCGACCTTCGACTCGGGCTACTCTCCTTCGTTGACAAGGACTTGCAACTCGGAGAGTGGGGGACTCATGATGGATATATTAGGAGAAGAGACTCGGGGCAAACCGACCCGAGGCGGTCGCGGTGCGATAAGAGGGAAATTGGGCGTCCCCAGTTGGGGTCGAGGTAGACCCCAGCGTCGGCCTCAATTGGAGTCGACCTCGGCGTCGGCCTCGGTTGGGGTTGGCCTCGGCGTCGGCCTCGGTTGGGGTCGACCTCGGCGTCATCCTCGGTTGGGGTTGACCTTGGCGTCGGCCTCGGTTGGGGTCGGCCTCGACGTCAGCCTCGGTTGGGGTCAACCTTGTGGTCGACCCCGAATGAGGTCGACCTTGGCCAGACGGAGTAGCCCGTGGGTGGGCCGTCCTGGGCCTCGGGCGTGCCCGCGTGACTCGGTCAACCGGGATCCAACCGCCCACCCTATTCTCATGGGTCGGTTGGGAGGATTGCTTAGTATAAAAAGACATCTCCTTGTCTTTGTTAGGACGCCTACATCTTGTCTTGTTACTACACTCTCCTTGTAATTTTCCTATAAAAGACTATCAATACGAAAGTTGTCCCCGCGACATATACATTCTTTGCATTTTCCTATTTATCATTTATTGGATTTAGTGATTCGGGTCTACCTCGGGTAATTAGATCCATCATTGGTGCTCTTGTTGAGAGTTGACGTATAAGCTCGAGCGTGCTCCATATTCCACTAGTTATGGCAAGATCGAGGTCCAACATCTCGCGGCTCTCGTAACACCCGTGCCTCCCCTACCGGGGGTGGCCTCAACGGGACCACTAGTCAGCAACGAACGCTTTCTTTGAGGTCGGTGGGTGACCTTAGAGATCACCCCACCAACCACCACAATGGTGCGCTAGCACCCCCGTCCTCCTCCAAATCTTGCCCTTTTCCAGGAGGGGCGGCTGCCCTTCAGCAGGCCTTAGTGACATTGACCTGCCTCGCGGAGGGGCTCCAAGGAGGTACGTGGGTGGGCCCGGAGGCCACCCGAAGGGTGCCGACCCCATCTCCGCCTTCCCCGAGAGGGCGCAGCGGCCTAAGCACCCGACCACCACGCACACCCGGCGCCCGGGCCGAAGGGGAGGCCAACTCACCCCAACCGTCAGACAGGCAGGGTGACACCCATCAAGATCATCGTTGAGATGGCGATAGAGGGAGGTCAACCCAGGCCAGGCCCGCCTGGAGAGGTTGGCCCGAGATAGGTGGGAACCAGGCCGGCATCGTCAACACCATCAAGGCCTATAATGAGGTGTTTGCATGGGGACCCGAGGACATGTCGGGCCTCAACAGCGACGTCATCACCCACAGGCTCGCCGTCGACCCCACAATCAAGTCGGTGCCACAATGCAAGAGGTACCTCTCCGCGGAGAGGAGTGGGTTCGTGAAGGCGTAGGTCAACACCTTCCTCGAAATAGGGCACATTGAGGAGGTCATATACCTTGAGTGGCCTGCTAACGTGGTCCTCGACCCCAATATCATTGTTCTAGAAAAGGGGGCACCTGGCGACCCCACCCCTGAAGACCAAAACTATTTTATTTTTTCCAAAGGCAAAGGGGGTGGGGGGGCTTGACCCCGAACAGCGGCATATGTTCTCCCTAGTAGAATCGACGGAATCCAACCTCGCCTAGCACGAAGAGGAGTTATTAACCCATGGTCATGGTCGTGGTCGTGTGCGCCGGCCCCGACCTTGGCTTTCCCTAACGGTAGTATAGGGGGGACGCCCCCGCTCACTACTACCTAGCGAAAGAACCTATTATGGGCTACTTGCTCCTTGACAGGCCGAGGCCAAGCAGGTAATGAGAACCTACCCGCTCCCCGGTGATGCACTCTATAAGAGGTCCTACAGCGGCACCCTGCTACGCTACTTATACCACGACGAGGCAAGATCAGACATTGAGGAGGTCGACGCAAGGGGACCTACTCAGTCCAACCCCTAGACCTCAGCCCCAAGCACATCTCCAAGATAGCCTGGGTGAAGAACCCCAGGAAATCCAGTTCGGAGGCCTACCCGGTCCTCCCCTTGCAAGCTCAAGCTCCATACTGGCTTGACCACCTTAAGGAGTACAAGAAGACATACGTCCTCTCCCAGGAGAGGGAGAGGCCAAGCTCGTGAAAAGGAGGGCCCTAACCTGCTTACTCCTCGAGGACACACTCTGCCCTGAAAGAGTCTACAACGGCACCCTGCTACGCGACCTATACCCCGAGGAGGGCCACCGGGGAGACCCCATTCTCCTCGCCCTACGGCTTTGAAGCCTGGACCTCCTTCGGGGTAGCCATACCTTCCCATCAGGCAGAAAAATATGACCCCTGTCTCAACGAGGGCAACCATTGGACCTCCGCGCCGAGAATTACCAACGCCAAGCTAAGGCCTACCACGACAAGCGTGGTACTTCCAATATTTATATCTTGTAAGGTTGTCCGCCCCCCTTCAACTTCAATAAACGCAGTAAAACTTTGCCATGGACTCATTTTCACTATTTCGGGAGGGGTGGAGGTACCCATCCAGCTTCTTCGGTTACCCTAAGGGGGCACGAGGCCCGACCTCGCGTACAAACCCCGACGGAAGAGCTTAACGGCTCAAGTCCGGTGACTTGGGGCCGACGGGCTTACCCTAAGGGGGCACGAGGCACGACCTCGCATACCAACCCCGACGGAAGAACTTAACGGCCCAAGTCCGGTGACTTGGGGCCGACGGGCTTACCCTAAGGGGGCACGAGGCACGACCTCGCGTACCAACCCCGACGGAAGAGCTTAACGGCCCAAGTCCGGTGACTTGGGGCCTACGGGCTACCCTAAGTGGGCACGAGGCCCAACCTCATTCGCCACCCGACGGAAGAGTTCTTGGACCAAGGGGTAACCTTAACCAAGCAACTATAACTACCCTCGGTGTGAGGCCATCTCATGGGCTCGCCCAAGAGGAGAACACATCAAGGAAAGCGCACGAAAGAAGTAAAGTGGACTCAGAAGTCAAAGTCTTATACACAATGCCAAGGAGTCCAAGACTTATGATGAGTGTTCTTGTAGAGAAGAAGTCCCGATCGCGATGGAATCACACCAAAGTTGGCCAAAGAGGAAGGAGGCAGGGCGGACGTCTTCCCGTGGGCTTGGGGTCGACCTTCGACTTGGGCTACTCTCCTTCGTTCACGACCACTCGCAACTCGGAGAGTGGGGGACTGATGATGGATATATTAGGAACGGGCTTAGGGCAAACCGATCCTGGAAGGCATGGTGCAAGGGGCCAAGGGCCCCGAGGTGGTCGCGGTGCGATATGAGGGGACTTCGGCGACCCTAGTTGGGGTCGACCTCGGTTGGGGCCGACCTTCAACTCGGGCTACTCTCCTTTGTTGACAAGGACTCGCAACTCGGAGAGTGAGGGACTCATGATGGATATATTAAGAGAAGAGACTCTGGGCAAACCGACCCGAGGCAGTCGTGGTGCGATAAGAGGGAACTTGGGCGTCCCCTGTTGGGGTCGAGGTAGACCCCAGCGTCGGCCTCAATTGGGGTCGACCTCGGCGTCGACCTCGGTTGGGGTTGGCCTCGGCGTCGGCCTCGGTTGGGGTCGGCCTCGGCGTCGGCCTCGGTTGGGGTCAGCCTCGGTTGGGGTCGACCTCGGCGTCGGCCTTGGTTGGGGTTGGCCTTGGCGTCGGCCTCGGTTGGGGTCGGCCTCGGCGTCGTCTTCGTTTGAGGTCGACCTCGGCATCAGCCTCGGTTGGGATCGGCCTCAGCGTCAGCCTCGGTTGGGGTCGACCTTGTGGTCTACCCCGAATGAGGTCGACCTTGGCCAGACGGAGTAGACCGTGGGGACCGCCACGTGGGTAGGCTGTCCTGGGCCTCGGGCGCGACCGCGTGACTCGGTCAACCGGGATCCAACCGCCCACCCTATTCTCATGGGTCGGTTGGGAGGATTGCTTAGTATAAAAAGACAACTCCTTGTCTTTGTTAGGACACCTACATCTTGTCTTGTTACTACACTCTCCTTGTAATTTTCCTATAAAAGACTATCAATACGAAAGTTGTCCCCGCGACATATACATTCTTTGCATTTTCCTATTTATCATTTATTGGATTTGGTGATTCGGGTCTACCCCTGGCAATGTTGCAAAAAACGTTAGGCGCCCCCTAGGCGGCAAGGGGGCGCTAGAGGCGCCTAGGCGCCGATTTTTTATTTATTTTTTTAATTTTTTTAATTATTTTTAATTAAAAATAAAATTAAAAATTAAAAATTTTTAAAATTTAGTAATAAAACATAAGGTTTCCATAGTTATTTCTTAGAAACTATTTACGAAAGTGGTTGTGAAAGTGTTCAAAAGATTGTTTAAACCATCTAAATACATAAAAAAAAACTAAAATTAAGAACTAAAGAAGCATTTTTTTGAGAAATTAGTAGACCAACCCGCCTTCGGCAATTTGTGGTGGATAGATCTCGAAAAAATATGCGATTTGAAAAAAAAATTGTCCAAAACAGACAACCGAGTCAAAAGTTATGCCTTCCCGAAATTTTCGCAATTTTAAAACGCCAAAAAAAAAAAAAAATTAATAAAGCGCCGGTTCAGCCGGCTAGGCTGCCGCCTAGACCGCCTAGCCGGCCGGCCGCGGAGGACGATTCCGGCCTTCTTCGCGGCGGCGGCCGGGCGCCTAGCGCCTAGGCGCCGATTAATCGGCGCCTTGGCGCGATTTTTGCAACCATGACCCCGGGTAATTAAATCATCAGGTACTTGAATGTGGTTTCTATTGGCCTACTGCTTCCCAAGATTCAAG